ACAAAGAAAAAACAGTTTCTTGCCATTTCAACCAGAAAGGACATTGTCTCAATGACTTGATTACCTGCATCCTGCTTCAAAGACCTTTTAAGACTTCACTTCAAAGAGAATCCTCTGAACTGTCATTCATGCTTAAATTCGACACTTTACACTCAAATTTGAATAAAGGTGCTAATTATCTTACCCATTACAAAGATAGCTTCCCCTCTAATATCATTAGCTCACAGACATTTACCTCCCTTCCTCCTTCTCATCCCCCTTCTGTTCTGAAATTTGATTTGTCCTTTTCAAATGTGTTCATTTTTTTTAATTGTATCCTTTGGTATATATGGTTGTGACAATTTTCTTCCATTATTTGATCTGAGGATGTGGGTCTGGCCCATGAAAGCTATTAAACCATCTTGTTAGTCTTTAAAGTGCTACACAGTCCTGTTTTTTGTTTCAGCGACACCAGACTAACACGGCTACATTTCTACCACTATGGTACAATATCTAGTTAGCATTAATATACCCCTCTTTCAAATAGAACTACACTAAATGAACTAGGTACTTTGTTTCTATGACAAAGAATTAATGGACACAAATCAGACATTTGAAATGGTAACACACAGAAACTTGTTGAGGAACATTTTAACTTGCCCGGGCAGTGACTAATGGATCTCAAAGTGACTATATTATTACAAAGCAATTTCAAAAACCAGCTTGAGACAGAAACTGCAGAACTTGGTTTCATATACAAGTTTGATACCTTGAACCAAGGTCTGAACAAAGACCTTACTTGAATGGGCCACTTCATTCAACTCCCTAAAGACATTACAAGTTAAGTATCGAGCAATTATAGCCCACTCTATTAGACTAGTTTAGCACGGACACTCCGACAATTTTTCCCCTTTCCTTTCTCTCCCCATCCCCTCTATTTGAATTTTTTTCCCCTTCTCATTCCCCCCTCCCCCCATCTCCTCTTTTTCGGCTATTTATTTGCAACTCTGGACCCCTTTCTCCATTCATCTAAAGAACTGGTCTCTGAAGAGATTGGAATTGATGCTCTCTTATATAAAGTGGCAACAGCTGCAGATGAATGGAGCTGTCTGGATGATGAATCTGGCAACAAAGTCTGCTTGAATATTTTGTTTTCAAAAATAAAAATAATGGTCATCCCTGCAAACTCAATTCAGGAATAAGCATAAATGCACTTGCATTTTGTTGCAGGAGTAAGGGAGTTAAAGACCAACTTTGGGCCCGGCCCATTTTCATCACACCCAGCGTGAGCAGTGGCTCAAAGCCACAATTTCCCCCAAATTCTCTCTCTCGCTCTTTTTAAAATCAGAGGCAGGCTCTTTCCTATTCAGTTCAATAGAACTATTAATGGATTTGATGCCTATTTTGCATAATAGGACATTATATAATCTCACAGTCCTGAAGAGACAAATGAGCAGAGGGTATGTTACCATTTGGAAGTCTTACCTCCGGCTACATGACCTTTTAACAGTGACTCATTACTAGCACCTCAGAATGAAGTAGCCCTTTACAATAGCTAGCATCCAATAATATTCTGCCATATCTGCCTGCCTGTGGATTTTTTCCCCCTCTTAGATGAAAGAATGTAGCTGAAGAATGAAACAACATTTAGAAGGAGCAAAGGCTGATGATCCAGAAATCCCATACCCACAAGTAGCATAATGGGAATGAGCAATAAAGCTAATAAAAGATCTACAGAGGCATCCATGGAAACAAGTGCAGCTGAGAGAGAAAGTGTACCCAATGCCTGCCCTCACCAGCTTAAGGATGGTGGTGCAAAACAAATTCAGCCCACTATAGATTTTATCAGAGGAGATAAAGCTAAACTAAGCCTGAAATTTACTAATGAAGCTGGCTTGTCCAATCACTTGAAATATTTTCTATGTACCACACAAACAGATTTCTCTCCCCCCTCTATTTCCTCCTCCTCCTCTCTCTATCTTCACCTCTTGTATGACCAGTTCTGTCAACTGTAAGGAAGTGGAGTAAATGGCTGATGCAGGGAACATTTCATAGAAATGTTTATAGTATTCAGGGAAATTGAAAAGTAGGAATGATTTCATTTGAAAAGTGTATGTTTTGCGTTCCCCTTGTACATGAACATAATTTTGTAAAATAACTTTTCATGTCCCTAGTTGTGTCATTTGATTGTATGTTTGTAATCAGTTAATACTTATACCTATAAAAGACTCTTTACTAAGGCAGTAAGGGTGCTATACAGGAATAAAATAAGTTGGGGGTAGAGGGGAAGACTTTGCGTGGCATAAATCCTAGCCCAGCCACACAAAGTCAGTGTGATGTTGATAAAGGCATATTTGTACATATGATACTGCAAATGGACCTGATTTGCCACAGGTCTGCTATTTCCACAGTGAAGAACAGCAGTGCATGGTAGGATGATTCTGACTGGAGTTTAGCCCTCTGGCTCTGGCTTCTTTCTGATTTGGAAAAGGGAGAAAAAAAAGGCAGTTTGTTACTGCTCTCCTCCAGAGAGTTCTTCCTATGACTGGAAGAGGGGAGCCTTGCTTCACTCTGCACTACAGGATTCCTGATCCAAGGTACCTAAAAGGAAGAATGTCCTAGCATTTTGTTTGTTTATTCTTTTGCTCCCTGTCCAATTCCTAATTCTACAGGACTGCTTCCTTTCTTCCACTGCCAGGTCACTTTCTGGGCCTTTGCTTAATCCAACTCCCTGCCCTTCCTTCTCCCCGTAAAAGGCCAGTAATCCAGTTACACTCACTGCAACATGATCTAATATAAAATAAATGTCCCAATTACAATATTGTCACATCAGGGGTAACTGCAGGAAAGAAGCAAGACCATGCTATCTCCCAGTCTGAAAAATGCTTTCAGAGCCCTAGGAGTAGTGACTGTTTTTCCTAAAGCTGAAATCAGGGAGCATCAACTTTGCCCTCTTGCCCATGACCTTAAATACCAAACCCACAAAATTAAAGGGAAGGACTGCCTGGTGTATTCTCATTTTGAAGACTGAGGTTGTGGAAGTTAAATAGATGAGCCTTAGTATTTCAAATTGCACCTATTTGGTTTCTTTTTAACTGAGAAGAAGTTCGTATTTTTGCCCTAGCAGGGACGTGAACCCGCAATCCCAGGGTTAAAAGGCCAATGTCTCATCCACTAAATCACTGTGGTAACTGTGTGTCATTTGTATATAGTTGCTACTACAGAATGTAGAAGCAAGGGGCCTGATTTTCAGAGCTGGTTAGCAACTGAAATGAGCGGGAGTTGCAGGTGTTGAATGTCTTAGGAAATAACAGGGGCAAACTTTCACACTCATCTGGCTAATGTAAGGCACCTAAATCTGTATCTGAATAACTATTTTAAACATTGTTTTAAAGAAGAAAATGGCTAAAACAAGTTGCCAGGTATTCATATTTCAGACAACCTAGCTTGAAAATTTGGACTGGCAGGCCTGTAACATTTTTAATAGCTGTAATAAAATGTATGAAAGTAATTTTAATGATAGCTTATGCCTAAAATTATATCACAAACTTAATAACCGATCCCTTACCTCAACTATTCATAACTTTGTTACCTGAAACACCATCACAACCTCTGATATTTGTTAATTACATTGAAAATTATTTTGCTTACTTGAATCTTTGATTAACCAAACATATTTATTATCTCTCCCCTCCCCCAATACCTCCTATGAAATTGTGATAAATACAATTGAACTGTGTTGATCCAGGGCTCCTTTGTAGGATTATGGCGGGCTCCAGGTGCTTACTGCATTCAAATATGATCTAGTTTGGATGTTTTTAAACACAAGCCCCCAGAATGAAAGAATTTAGGTCAGAGGATGGATTTATCTCAAACCTCTCAAGTAAATGGAGTGAGTGAGCATCAGGCAGCTTAGCCATTTGTTATTTTTTTGGTTCTTTCCTCTGAGGCCATTATCACCTATCTGGAGTATCTCAGTACTGAGGCTACGTCTACATTGCGGCAGTTTGTTGGAAGAGGAAATGTAAATGGAGTGCTCATTTGCCAATCTCGGGCTCTCATTTGCATATTCTCTTCCCATCCTTTTTTTGCGGAAGAGATTTTTGCGCTAAAAAGCCCTGTGTAGATGGGGCCATTTGTCAGAAAAAACCCATTTTGTGCAATATCCTGAATACGTCATTTTTTTTAGGAATAAGGAATCTTGCACAAAACAGGGTTTTTCCGACAGATGGCCCTGTCTACACAGGTATCAGAGGGGTAGCCATGTTAGTCTGAACCTGCAAAAACAATGAGAAGTCCTGTGGTACCTTACAGACTAACAGATTTTTTTGGAGCATAAGCTTTCATGGGCAAAGACCCACTTCGCCAGATGCATGTAGTGGAAATTCCAGAGGCAGGTATAAATATATATATCTTGACACCTGTATATTTATACCTGCCTCTGGAATTTCCACTACATGCATCTGATGAAGTGGGTCTTTGCCCACAAAAGCTTATGCTCCAATAAATCTGTTAAGCTATAACGTGCCACAGGACTCCTCATTGTTTTTCCCATCTACATAGGGCTTTTTAGAGCAAAAATCTCTTTTGCCAAAAGAATCGGAAGACAATATGAAAATGAGAGCACGAGATTTGCAAATGAGCATTCTATTTACATTTCCTCTTCCGACAAACTGCCACCGTGAAGACGTAACCTATGAGTGCCAAGCTCAGGCCAGACTTCCTAGAAGCAAGGCAGAGATCCCAAAGTGGTTGTATGGTCTATGACCAGCTTTTGCCAACCCAGTAACATGTATGAGCTCCTAAAGTACTATCACAATCTTACCGGGGAGTCACGGCCAGCCCCCTCAGCATTTTGATCTATCTTGACACCTGGACAAGCTGAACTTAGTGACAATTGGTTGCTTGAGTCTATACCAAAGATCACAAAATATTCAGGTTACCACAAGTCATAAAGTGTTAGTCACTTGCCCTAAGTTAATTTGTACCTTAGATCTCACACAAAGAAAGCTTTTAGCTAGTTTTATAGTAAACTAATTAAGGGTTTATTTACTAAGAAAATAAATGAGTTATTTACAAGGTTAAAGCAGGCAAATACATATACACAAATGAGTTACTCTATGCTTCCAAATGGTGACAGAGTTCTAGTATAATCTTTCAGCTCTGAATGTCTTCTAGGACTAACCCAAATTGACCATGGAGATTTGCTGCTTCTGTTTCATAGCTCCCTATGGGTGTCCAAATAGTAAAAGATGAAAAATTTTCTTGTCAGCCATTTTTAATTTTTTTCTTCCTGAATTCAAGCTGATGAGACAAGCCCTTTTGCACATAGTGTCGTCACATGTGTAATGGGCAATGAACAAAGTCTTTGAATTAAGATGTCCCACAGTGGCCCCAACTAGTTTTGATAGCCTTCTTGACATGCAAGAGATGATCCCTCCTGCCTGAGTTCACAGTAAAAGCAAACTTTTTTATAGTTACAAAGGAAAAATGTAAATGTTACCTTATCTTATAGCATGTGATAAAGAGATTATACATTGGATGAATGCATGCAGCATCTTATAAGTATTTCTTCATCTAAATACTAAACCCATTATTATAATTTCAGTATCTATCTTACCCATGTAAACACACAGGTGAAACAGACTAGTTTTCATCAGTGAATTTGGCAGAGATCAGCTAAAGAACTGCTATCTGGTCTGCCTGCATCAAGCCAGTAGCTGCAGATATTTCAATTACTTGCTTTTAAAATATATGTAGCTCACATCCTGCCTTTTAGTGAGCTGAGGTCTCTTAGTTCTTCCTTTTACAGTGGGAATTAATGTGAAGAGAATAAATACAAGCTGTATTTTGCTTCACCAGTCATTTTCTCGGTCCTCCTTGCTACTATTGCCGATATTGGTGGTTGGATAATGGCTGTCTCTCCCTCATTCCCAGGTCAGCTTCTGCTTGACTCTGTGACATCCACGTGTTTCTATTCAAATGAATGTGAAGCTTTAGGGCACAAATAGATTTGATAATCAACACACGGGGCAGAACAATTACAGACTTTAAGCAAAAGGACTCTAAGTAAGCCCAGAACACATGGGCTGCACAGGTTACATACTCCGGGAGCTTTATGTGAGCAAGAGATGTTAATGCAACTTCGGGATATTGGTAGACTCCATAGCTGCTACCTCTACTTCTCAGTGGGACTGTCCAGTGGATACGCAGTCACAGATTCAGTGTTCCCATGCTTCTTCCATGGCCTGTCTCTGCCTTGGATCCATACAGTTCTGGTTATCTTCATGGAATTGTGTGGCCAGCATTTCCTCCTGCACAGGCTGACAAAATCTGCCATAGTTGCCCCTTTCTTATCTGCTCCCCAGATTTGCTCTGATTGTACCACACTAGTTCCATTCTGGTCCTGTCTACACCTGTGAAAAGATGGCAAGATTTTTTCCAAAGTGATTTTTGTAAAAGTGCCCCTGTAGTAGTTAAGTCTCCTGCCTAATTTGCATGGTTCCTGCCAGAACTGTAGTAATAGTAAGAGACTGCAGTGAGAACGGTGTTTAATTGTGCTGTGTATGTTGGGAAGGTGCATAGATGACCTGGACATAAAGAGAAAGTCAAATTGTGGCATTTAGCCATCAACCCAGGCAAGTGATCATGTAGAAGCACAAAGAATCTGTGCTTCTGTGAGGAATTTGTGGGCCAGTGCAAAGGGTGTATGTGTGTGAGTCTCAATTTGTCTCCAGGTATGCCTAACTTGCTCTATGAGCTTGCACTGGTAAAGGGTGGAGCCATGGATCTATTCCAGGGGTGGAGGAACCTCAGTCCCTGTTCCGATCCCCGAGGCTCAGGGGACCCCAACATTGGAGAGCCTATGCTGGCACTCTAGCCTCCTCCCACTGAGGCTGAATCACACAAAATCTACTAGGCTGGGTCCCCGTAGGCTCTGATGTGGGAGGGGGATGTGAGGAGTGTCTTTCTCCTTCTCCAGATGGGGGCCACATCAGTGAGAGGTTTTGTTTTGTTTTTGTATTTCTCACTTGTGTGTGGGCCCCAACTGATTTTTCTGTGGGTCAAAAAAGGTTCCCTACCCCTGGTCTATTGTCTTACTCCCCCACTCCTGTCTTCAAGCGCTTTGTGCCTATGGAGGGAAGTGGAGAAGGAAGCTGTCCTCATGCTCCATCAAGCACAGTACCGCAGGTGTGGCTGGCCCTGGTTCATTGAGGCTGCATGTAAGTGTAAGGTTCTTTGAGCTTCCTTCCTCCCTTCAAAGCTTTGATAAGGTCAACTACTGTTAGGCCCGGTGTGAAAAAAAAGCCATTCAATTCTGTTGAAAGCCATAAAAAAAGATTGCTTTGCTCAAATCCCCTTTTGTTTTTACCCTTTCATGAAACTGTCAGGATTGCTTTTTCTTTTCTTTCCATCCTAAGGTTTTTGGTTCTTGCAAAGTCAGAATGTGGTATTATGCATTTTTTATTGTCTTTCTTTTGCAATTTGTTTGCTGGCATTATATTCCAGATTGCTAATTATTTTATTTAACTGTCTCCATGACTCCTGCTTCTCCACTGAATGGTAGGGAACTTTTTGTAACGATTTCTGTGTCCCTCAGTCATTTTAGCAGTAACAATTTTATTTAGATTTGCACTCTGCCAAGGAAATAATGTTCTAACCACACACCTGCTTTTTACACAAGCTTATGTTTCTAGTGGATTACAGCACAGGGGTGAACTGCATGGGAGCACTAGTGTTCAATGATTGTTTATGTTGAAAAATGACATTTTTAATTCAAATGCAAAATCTGTGACACTAAAGATTCATAAGTCAAGTTTCTATTTCATCAGGGAAACATTCCCCTTATCATACGATCTGTTCTGTCCTTTAACATATAAACATGACTAGACTTTTCCCCTGCTCTATATTCTGCTTACTCTAATGCTGCAGTGCTTCATTTTGCTGCACCACTAGGTATTCGTGTCCTTCTGGCTGGCTTCTCCTTTCTGCTGCATTCCCCTGCAGTTTTTCTGCATTCTCAGTGGTGGTGCTCATGCACCATTCTTCTCTGCCCAGCTCATGTTTGAAAGATACACTTAATTCTCAGTGTTCTGGTTAATTTTCTGGCTATTCTTGCCTTATGAAATTCCAAAGGTTAATAATAATCAGATCGAATTATTCCATGCATAAGCTGCCATGGTCAGGATACAATTTCTTCTTTCACATATATTGCCCCTTAAAAATGAAAAAGCGTGTCTAAAAAATAGCCCAAACCACTAGAGTGACATTATTGGAATGCTATTGTGTTCAGATGAGTATTGTAAGGGATTGCACATTTGGCTAAGTGCTGGCTTTTTGCTTCCTCTGAAGCATGAGATACTGGCAATATCGGAGATATGATGCTGAACTAGATGCACCAATGCATCTGAGCCAGAAAGTCCAAATCCTATGTTGAAACTGCAATTTTTTCCCCTTCCTAAATTCTTCAAAAGACACAAAGCAAGTGGAGATGGCATGTGACTCTTCTAAATTGGCTCACAGGTTTTATTTCTTGAAAAAGAATGTGTCTCTCCCTTCACAGTATAGTAAAGGACAAAGTAGGCAGCCTACCTGCTGGTCAATTATACTGATACCCTTATCTGCCTGCCCCAGGTGCACTTCAGCTGAACCTTCCTAGCAGCTATAGAACTACTCCAGCATGGAAATGCTATTGAGTCAAGGTGAATTATTTTGATCGTGCTTTTAAAATCCTCTGACTTTGAAAAAAATAGCACCCACCACACCGCAAGCTCGATTGAGAACAATCACTCTTCACCGTTTAATAATTGCAATTATCGTTCATGGAGTGTACTTGGATTGCTGCAGTAAATGTTATAGCTTTAAAAAAAATCTCTGACAGCTTTGAAGGCAGCCTCCTGCTGGTTTTTAATCATAGGCACTGTTCTCTGCCTAGCACTGCAGGAGCAATTAGAAGAAAAAAAAGCAAGAAATGTGTAGCTGATATGCGTGGGTGGCACTGTCTGGGGAATGTGTGCAGGGAACTCTTGTAGGAGAATTCTCATTTATGAAGGATTTCCCTGGCTCTGCACTGTGATGGAATAACAGATGGGTTTTCTGCTTCACAGAAGGGAAATACCTTTTGTCTTAGAAAGCGCCCTTCACTGCAGGCAAAGAAATGCCAGTACATTGCAGAGGCTGCTCGTGACCGTCAGTGGATGCAGCCTTTCTTTTTTTTTTTTTGTTACTAATTTTTACATTTAGCTGCTTATGAAAGCTGCCAGCCATGAAGAATAAAATACTCTTGTTACAGAGACCGGGTATAAAACACTTTAGCAACAGCAAATAAGCAAAAGGAATCCTGTCCAACTCCTAGATTTTAATAATTTCTTTAATTTACAGTTGAAGGCTCATGTAATGATTTGGTTGTTTGTTGCATGCCATACATCTTTTTACTCCACACTTACTATTTTAGATCAGTGTTTTTTATTCACTCACTCACCTCTCCTCTGAAGAAGGTCTGATGTGTTTATAGAGGAAAAAATTCAGCAAATGCAGTTTCTGTAGCTAGACAATATCTTTGCAATTTGGACATCATTCTTCAGATGCACCATAGCTCTTTGATAAAGGGAAACCTTAAAAAGAAAGAAAGTTAGGATCAAAATCGAAAGCATATTTGTAAAAACACAGTAATGAGGCATCAGCTGTAACTGAAATTGATCTGGAAATATGAAAATTCAACTGGCATTTAAAAATAATTATTTTTATTAGCCCCTGCCCTCAATGTAGGAGGAAAAGAAAGAGAAATACGTTGACAGAGGTCTCATCAGTGCATTTAAAAAGCACTATGGGCCAGACAGATGGTAATATAATTCCAGGATTTGTTGTTTTAATTTAATATGAATAAAATGTTGGTACAAAATGGACTAACTGAAGGAACATATTCCAGGAGGACCAATACAGGTCCAGGACCATGTTTAATCTTTGGACTTTAGGAGCCTGATCCTTGGCTGGTCTAAATCAGCCTTGCTCCATTAATTTTAGGTGCTGGTCCATTGTTGTCTTCTCCCACTTAAGGCTCCGTGTCACTTTTGTTGTCTAGGACAGCTTCTCTTTCTGGTCCTCCGTTTCCTTTCCTTCCTCCAAGCTCTGTTGTCTTCTATGCCTGATATTAATTATAAAAATAAAATGTTTTCTCCAGCACAGTGTCATGGCTCCTTTCCCACTCTGGCACAATAAATGCAGAAGTGAGGGCCAGCAAATACCCCAAAACCTTATTTACCAGGCTTTGGTATAAAACTTCCCCAAAAAATCTTAAAAGACTAGATTTTGGGAATAAAACTTCTGCTGCCACCACCCAAGTATTGATGTGAAAAATCAGGGGAGAGACTACTTGGGAAGTCTCCCCCCTAAAGTACGAAGTAGGACACCACCATTAACCAATACCAGGTTAATAAAAAGAAAAGAGAAAACTTTTATTATCACTGGAATATTCTTGTTGCAAGCATAATGACTAGATGGAATAATAACCAATAATATACTCATGGGCTACGTCTACACTGGCCCCTTCTTTGGAAGGGGCATGCTAATTTTGAAAGTTGGAATAGGGAAATCCGTGGGGGATTTAAATATCCCCCGCGGGATTTAAATAAACATGGCCGCCGCTTTTTTTCCGGCTTTTCCCAAAGCCGGAAAAAAAGCGGCGGACATGTTTATTTAAATCCGCGGGGGATATTTAAATCCCGCGCGGATTTCCCTATTCCCAAATCCGCGCGGGATTTAAATATCCCCCGCGGATTTAAATAAACATGTCCGCCGCTTTTTTTCCGGCTTTGGGAAAAGCCGGAAAAAAAGCGGCGGCCATGTTTATTTAAATCCCGCGGGGGATATTTAAATCCCCCGCGGATTTCCCTATTCCAACTTTCAAAATTAGCATGCCCCTTCCGAAGAAGGGGCCAGTGTAGACGTAGACATGGAGAAACTCCATGGGCCTAGAACTTAGTTACAGTGAAAAGCCAAGACATTTCTTAAAAAGTGCACAGACATCAGATCCCCTTCTCAAACCGTAAAACATAAAACCTAATGGATTTATCTAAACTTTACCCTACTTACAGAAAGTGAAGAAAGTGTCTTTTCTTGGAGGGAGACATAGTGTCTGTCCCCCTCAATAGCTGGAGAGAACTGCCCAAGACAAAGGAGGGAAAACCCCAAATTCCTTTGTCACAGTTTGAAATTCCTACTACATTCCTATTGGCCACTCCACCTGGCTAGGTAAGGGAGATAGTTAACCCCTTAATCCCAAGGCTGCTGGCTAACCCTCTATGTTTCTCATTTTTACATACATTCTTCTTCCTCACACCATCTACTTCCATGGTCTGTTTTCTTTTCATTATGCTATCTGTCTAAATTAGTTTCTGTCTATATTTCTTTGCAACAGTGTAGCTATGCCAGTGTAATCCCCAACTGCACAGGCATAAAATGGAGTTTCCATTGGTAAAAGAACAGGCTATGCACCATCCCCATCCAATACTGAGTCTGCACTGGTGCCAAGCACCTGCATTAGAGGATTGCACTGTGTTACTCACTTTGATGCATTTACTCCAATGCAATTTTTCCAGTTCTAGTCAAAACACTGTATCATGAAAATCCTCATGGTAAGGACCTTGTTTTCTTATTTGCCTCTAAAGTGCCAGGCAAATCTGTGGAGCCATATACAATCGTGGACTCTCAAACTTGTACTGGTACCTAAAGACAAGACTGTTTTTTGTTGTTAATCTGAAACTTGTTGTTCAGTGGCATTCACTTTGCAGGACTCACAGAAAAATGGTGTATATCAGGACTAGCTACACTTCCCATATTTTATTAACGTATCTCCCACTGGCACAAAGGCAGACCTTGTCACACACTGTTACCTTCAAAAGACTGGGGTGAGTTGTGATTATTTGGCTATAATTCTATCATTGTTTCTGGTAACACAATAAAGTACAAGTACTTTGTGGTAGCAAAACCCTGACATGAAAATTTAGTCCTATAATCACTCCTTCATCATGAAGCATTCTCTACAATATAGAGAGTGCTTAAAAAAAAAAGCTGATGCTATGAGCTGCTTTTTCATTCACACATAAGGTCAAAATGCTATTCTCACCATTTAGTGCTATAGAGCCTTTTTGCTCTAAAATTTCAGATGCAAGAGAAGCCAATTAACACCGTAGGTTTCTTGGAACCATATGATGAGTGTCTTTTTTTTGGTAAAGGTTGTATTGAATAAGTAATCTGATTATATGACATATACTATGACCTGTATCACAGGAGTAGCCGTGTTAGTCTGGATCTGCAAAAGTGACAAGGAGTCCTGTGGCACCTTATAGACTAACAGATGTATTGGAGCATAAGCTTTCATGGGCAAAGACCCACTTCGTCAGATGCATGTAGTGGAAATTTCCAGAGGCAGGTATAAATATGCAGGCCAGAAGAAGGCTAGAGATAATGAGGTTAATTCAGTCAGGAAGGGTGCGGCCCACTTCTAGCAGCCGATCTGGAGGTGTGAATACCAAGAGAGGAGAAACTGCTTTTGTAGTTGGCTAGTCAGTCACAGTTTTTGTTTAATCCTAAAATGATGGTGTCAAATTTGCAGATGAACTGTAGCTCAGCAGTTTCTCTTTGAAGTCTGGTCTTGAAGTTTTTTTTGCTACAGATTGGCTACCTTTAAATCTGCTATTGTGTGCCCAGGGAGATTGAAGTGTTCTCCTACAGGTTTTTGTATATTGCCATTCCTAATATCTGATTTGTGTCCATTTATTCTTTTATATAGGGATTGTCCAGTTTGGCCAATGTATATGGCAGAGGGGCATTGCTGGCACGTGATGGCATATATTACATTGGTAGATGTGCAGGTGAATGAACCAGTGATGGTGTGGCTGATCTGGTTAGGTCCTATGATGCTGTCACTGGTGTAGATATGTGGGCAGAGTTGGCACCAAAGTTTGTTGCATGGATTGGTTCCTGAGTTAGAGTTATTGTGGTGGGCTGTGTAGTTGCTGGTGAGAATTTGCTTCAGGTTGGTGGGTTGTCTGTGAGCGACGACTGTCCTGCCTCCCAAGGCCTGTGAAAGTGAGAGATCATTGTCCCGGATGGGTTGTAGATTACTGATGATGCGTTGGAGAGATTTTAGCTGAAGACTGTAGGTGATGGCCAGTGGTGTTTTGTTGGTTTCTTTCTTTGGCTTGTCTTGTAGTAGGAGGCTTCTGGGTACATGTCTGGCTCTGTTCATCTATTTCCTCACTTTCTCATGCGGGTATCATAGTTTCAAGAATGCTTGGTGAAGATCTTGTAGGTGTTGGTCTTGGTCTGAGGGGTTGGAGCCAATGCGGTTGTACCTTAGTGCTTGGCTGTAGACAATGGATCATGTGGTGTGTCCGTGATGGAAGATGGAAGCATGAAGGTAGGCATAGTGGTTGGTAGGTTTTCGGTATAGGGTGGTGTTTACGTGACTGTCACTTATTTGCACCGTGGTGTCCAGGAAGTGGATCTCTTGTGTAGACTGGTCCAGGCTGAGGTTGATGGGGGAAGGAGGAGGGGAAGGAAGTTGTTGAAATTGTGGTGGAATTCTTCCAGAGTCTCCTTCCCATGGGTCCAGATGATGAAGATGTCATCAATGTAGCGTAGGTAGAGAAGGGGCATTAGTGGACGGGAGCTGAGAAAGCGTTGTTCCAGATCAGCCATAAAAATGTTGGCTCCAGATCAGCTGCTAGAAGTGGGCCTCACCCCCCTGACTGAATTAACCATGAAAGCTTATGATCCAATACTATGACCTGGCAATTTGTCTCAGAGGAGCAGGCTAACAGATGAATTGCATGAGTATTTCAATATATATTTAACTGGTGGTATTCATGGTATAGTGGCTTGAGGTTGGGGCTGGGAATTAGGGACCCTAAATTCTAATCCTGGTTTTGTCACTTAGGCTGTGTCTAGACTACATGCCTCTGTCGTCAGAGGCATGTAGATTAGACACATAGGCAAAGGCAAATGAAGCCGCGATTTAAATGATCGCGGCTTCATTTACATTTACATGGCTGCCGCGCTGAGCCGACAAACAGCTGATCAGCTGTTTGTCGGCTCAGCGCGGCAGCCATGTAAATGTAAATGAAGCCGCGATCATTTAAATCGCGGCTTCATTTGCCTTTGCCAAAACAACAAATCTACATGGCTCCGTCGACGGAGCCATGTAGATTTGTTGTTTTGGCAAAGGCAAATGAAGCCGCGATTTAAATGATCGCGGCTTCATTTACATTTACATGGCTGCCGCGCTGAGCCGACAAACAGCTGATCAGCTGTTTGTCGGCTCAGCGCGGCAGCCATGTAAATGTAAATGAAGCCGCGATCATTTAAATCGCGGCTTCATTTGCCTTTGCCAAAACAACAAATCTACATGGCTCCGTCGACGGAGCCATGTAGTTTAGACATACCCTTACTCATTGTGTCACCTTTAAATCATTCTCACCCGATTGAGTTTGTTCCTCCACCAGTAAAGTGGAGATTAGTAATGCTTAGATGATGAGAGGAGTAATTAGTTAACGTTATATTTTTACAAAGTGTTATATTTTTTATTTCTTTTGTTCATCCAACCATCCCTAGTCTGCTGCTTTTGGCAGTGCTGACTGCAACAGACAGGAGCTGTGAGGGCTCTAGGTTGATGGTACTTCTTGTTTTGCCTGACCTTGTTCAGGCCAGTAGGTATCATTTGATTCCCAGATTGCTAACATAGTCTGTGTCTACACTACAATCAGATCTCGCATCTTTCAGGGAAGGAACCCAGGTCCCTTGAAATCCTTTCATTGCCCTCACTATACTGACCATCCCCCTTTCATTTTAAGGGATGCCCCTTCTTTAGTGCCTAATGTTTCACTTAAATTCAGTGATTAAAGAACCATTAAAATCCATTTGATTGGACAGCAAGTATGTTTCTGAGTAACAGAACGGCCGTTTTTGTGCAAAAACTTCTGGAGCGTCCACACCTCAAGCGCGTTTTTGCGCAAGAAAATTTACAGTGAATCGACAGAACAGAGGGGATTTTGTGGTATAGGTATTCCTCTTTTTACGAGGAATAAGCCTTTTTGTGCAAGAGCTCTTGTGCAAAAAGGTGTGTGTGGACAGGAAACAGGGTTTTTTGCGCAAAAACACCCTATCGGAAGAAGCACAGGTGTCTTGGTGGCCATTCTGTTAATGACAATCAGAACTTTCTTGCAAGAGAGTGTCCATGCAGTCTGGACGCTCTCCTTCACAAAAGCAAGTATCCATCCATGTGGAAATTACTATTCCAAATTGGACATATGGAATGGATCTGAGAGTCTATTGCATTTTATACAAATACTGAGACAAAGGGTAACATTTTCACGAGCTCTACAGCTGCTTACATTGCAATAGCTCCAAGGAAAAGAGCTGAGGGTTGAGCAGAGAGCACACGCCAGGGAGAAGACTCCCATCAAGTAGGGCTCAGGAGAATGAAATTTGGACTACGAGGACTTTATTTTGGGATCAGTGTATGATAACAATAAATTGGGGCATTGTTGGAGAAGAAAGCCTAGATGCAATTCTTAAGAAGTCTGGAAAAGAAATGTGAGACAGGACCATGCTTAGCCAGTCTGCCTGTTTACAATTCCATTTAGTTTCACTGCAGCTTAGGTTATAAAGTTACAAAGTCACTTTTGAAATAATTCTGTTTGAAGTACTTAGCAGCCTGTGGCAAATAACCAACTAGTGAATTCAATATGTCTGCATATCTGGCACTCTGTACCATGCTCATCCACATGATTTCTGAGCACAAATGTGTTTGGTCCCACTTTCTGTATTTAATTCAATACCCGCTGAGCAAAACCAATACCAGGAATAAAAAGATAAATTACTACTGGTTCTACTAAAGGGCTACATCTACACTGGCATGATTTTCCGGAAATGCTTTTAACGGAAAAGTTTTCTGTTAAAAGCATTTTTGGAAAAGAGCGTCTAGATTGGCAGGACACTTTTCCGCAAATGCACTTTTTGCGGAAAAGCGTCCGTGGCCAATGTAGATGCGCTTTTCCGCAAAAAAGCCCCGATCGCCATTTTCGCGATCGGGGCTTTTTTGCGGAAAAATCTCTGCTGTCTACACTGGCCCTTTTGTGCAAA